CACACACACACACACACACACACACACACACACACACACACACACGCACACACACACACACACACACACAGTCAGGTATTTGATCACTCTGTGTTGGAGGTATTGTACATATTGATGTTGTTTCGCCCTCTAACCTCACACACTTTTGGGAAGCCGGCAACATTAAAGAAGTGCACTACGTTCTCTGTCGTGTATCTGTTGGGTTCCTCAGTTCTCAGAGCACTCATCCTCACAGGGTGCGTTCGTATTCTTTGTTTATCGCTGTAAACCGTCTATAAACCATGATGCGGTTCAACTAACCTTAAGGGATTCCTAAGTCCAAGACCAAGATAAGAGAAAACCTTAAATACCTACCTGAACATTTTAAGGACACCTTAGGGAGAAGACTTAAGGGTGTGCAACAGATTATATTTTAAGTAAACCTCAATTGTAACTTAACGTGTGCTGTGCAACCGACCACAGTTCTCTAGCTTTTACATTTTAAACAATGTTAATGTGACAGATAATTTGAAGGATAAGATGCCAAGAGTACTTAATATACTATGCACATAGATTGTACGTATACATTGTAACTTGCAGATGACATGCATGTGTGTAGTGACTGTGTGTGTGTACCTGGTGAATGGCCAAACCCAAACAGTTGAGTATTGTCTCTGGCTGTTCCTTCAGCTCTGTGGTCAGATCAGGAAGTGCCCCACGCACGCTTTGGTCTCCAGTCAAGTCTGCATAATCCACCAGAACACTGCCTTGACGCTCAACCTCATCCTGTGGTCAAACACACAATAACATAGAAACACACAGAAACATTTATAAAGCAGGACAAAAAGTGAAAATAAAATAAAAAGACTACAAAAATAAAAAGACTACATTGAGAAAAAATAACTTTAATGGTCAGTTTATTAAATAGAGAGTTGAGGTAGCAGACTGACCTTGTCATACAGTTGAATCTTGGAAGAGAAATATTTCTCAAACACTTTGATCTTCTCCACACTAGGTGAGCTCTCTATGAAGCCTGCACATGAAAAAAAGAAAATATTAAGACGTATCCCAGACACAGAAGAGCCACATGGTCACGACCATTATATGTGTCCACAGCATCAAGCACTATCATCATGTGAAACAGAGCCGTACACAGACACCTACCTTCTGTGAAGTACAGGGTCCATCCTTTGTACGGACACAGTACGTCTAGAGTAGCCTGACAAAGGACTGAAGAGGAACACGCAGTTAGGATAAATTATGACACATGTTGTTGCAGCTTCTCATGTTCATTCAATAAAATGTTGTAAGAACAAGATATTATTCCATATGTCCTCATCTCATTTTATGTTTTTCTCACATTTTCTCCCGTTATGCAGCGAACAAGAGCGCCTCCGTATTTAAGAAGCTGTCAGTAAAAATAAATACCGTAGATCTATATAAAAAATACACTAGTCCTTTAAAAGTTGATTACCGGATTTGTGAAATGGAAAAGCAAATCAAACTCACCTCTCTGGCTGCTGAGGGTGTGGTTTCCTGATCCTCCTCCAGCAGCACCACCTCCACCTCTCCACCCTCCTCCACCTGCTGATCCACCTCTCCATGGTCGACTCCTCCATCCTCCTCCTCTCCATCCACCTCTACCACCACTGCCTCCTCCTCCTCCTCCTCTTCCTCTCCATCCACCACTGCCTCCTCCTCCTCCTCCTCTTCCTCTCCATCCACCGCTGCCTCCTCCTCCTCTTCCTCTCCATCCATCACTACCACCTCCTCCTCCTGCTGCTCTCCCACCCCTCCATGAGCCTCTTCCGGATTCCTCTCCACTCATTACTTTCCTAAAACAAAGCAAGGAGGAAAGAGCAAGACTAAGTGAGAGTGACAGTAAAGTACAAAGCAAAGGTAGTTTCTTTTCTGTGAGTCAAACATTTGACAAGCTTCCAAGTGCATTGAAAGAATACCAAGAAATAAATTACGTCTTCTTTGTCCATCTTTTGTAGCGTTAAATGAAAGCTCCAAACTCCATTTAAAAAACTACATTAAACTAGTCAACATGTACCTACCTCGTGCAGACAGAATTAACTTTGCAGCCTTAAATGAGAAATTTACAACAAATACAAACCACTGGGACATTCCGCATACAGAATCTAACGCTAGCTACTAAGCGCATTTAGCGTAAAGCATTTAGCTTTACGCTATAAATTCAACGGTCAGTAAAGGTACGTTAGTTCGTAAATGTTCATTTAAAACACTATGACAGCGACAGTAGTGTGATACAAACCTTTCGTTTGTCTTTGAGGAATAATGTGACGGTTGAATAACGTCCACAATGTGTTACATTAACTCAAAACGTTACGAATTCAGGAATGTTTACACTAAACAGGCTGTTCTAACTTCCCTCCACAGCAGTTGAAGCTTCTTCTTCTTCTTCTTCTTCTTCTATTTTAGTATGCAACAGAGTAGGGTCTCGCGCCCTTTACTGCCCCCCTGAGGACAGACACGGTACTACATATACTAATAACAGACTGTAATAAATATCCTGAATTGAAAATCATATTATATGCTGTTTGCGTTTTGCTTTATGGAAAAGGCAGTTAATTCACGGACCAGCAGTAATAGTTAAAATAAATAATGGAAAATAAAATATCATTCTGTCAGGTAAAAGGACTTTGATGAGAAGGACTTTGTTGGACTTTGTTGAAAGCTTAATATGCCTTAAAGATAATAAAGATATAATCCAACATTAAAGGATATTTTAAGCGTGTTGGCTGTGTTTTATATAATGACAACGACCTTCACTTAAATAAGAAATGTATCTGCAGCCCTCTGCCGCCATCCGATGGACATTTTATGTAATTGCATTTGGAAAAATAAGGCACGTCGGACTACACTTATTTGTTTTTGTGCAATGCTGTGTCTGTGTTGTGATTTCATCAGTTATCCTATGCTTTTATAAATTTACTTATATTCTCTTATTCATGTCGGTGTTTTTATTTAATCTTTTCATGAAGCACTTTGGTTGTTTTTAAATGTGCGCTATAAATAAAGGTGACTTGACATCACGTCTACACTATCTTACCCACTTCATTCACGCTGCAAAAATGCTAAATCTTTCCAAGTATATCGATCTAATCACTTGTCAATATATCTCTGAACACTAAATATAAGACACAATCACTTAACAAGTAACATTTCAGTGAGATTTAGGGACTTGTTTCAAGACAATGCACCTTAAATATCTTGCTAAGTGAATAAATACTGCTGTGCATCGCAGTTATTATGACACTTCTAATTGAAATATAACTCAAAATGCTAATTTCAAGATCTATTTTTATCTTGAAAGGCCTTGATATTACATCATATTTCAAGAAATCTTACCAAGTGTTTCATTGACTGATTAGTTTTACTTAATACAAGCAGGAACACTTTGTATTCCTTAGTTTTGAAGGGGCCTTTTTTTCCTCCAGTGCATACATGCATTAAGGAGAGATTAATTGAGATTGGTGACCAGTTGTTGGCAGTGCAACAGTAACACAATGCAGAGATAAGGACGAATTCACACACGCTCATTTTGTATTCCCACAATTGTGAGGACCCTCCTTGACATAAACGGACTCAAGATTGACTTTATTGCGATTGCACAGAGTAGGGGCCGCTTACGAGGACAGAAAACACCTCTGAAACTGGAATTGGTCCTCAGAAAGAACCACTTCTGTGAAAGAAAAAATGTATGAGAGCGCATGCACACACAAACACACACACACACACACACACACACACACACACACACACACACACACCCTTTGAAGGGAGTGGGACAGAGAGACAGAATGAACAAGGAGAAAAAATCAATACCTGAACTACTGTGGCCTTGAGTAGTTAGTGGTAATAGCAGAGGAATGAGAGGGATGGATGCACGCACACGCACACACACACACACACACATACAAACACACACACACACAGTGTGTTGGTAATGTCAAAAAACAGCTCTTGTGAGGTAAAGCATACCAAGAACTAAAAACAGAGTGAGAGATATGTCTCTTGATTCTCCCCCATCATTGCGTTCATAGTGCCGGGACACAAAATGAGGCCTTTTCCACTGTGTGTGTTTGTGTCCTGTCCCATCTCATCACCCTCCGCAGACAACGGAAAAGGTTAGCCACTCAGGGAGGCGTTCAATCTCCCCTTGATCAGTCAAACAGCAAACGTCTAAGAAAGAAAAAACAAATCGATGTGAATTCAAGGCGAAAGAAGAGAGATCGTTTTTTTTAAAATGCGGTTTTGCTTTTTTTTCAGCCAGAGTTTTGCGACGCCAAAGTTAAGTAGGCGGTGAGTCACGGCTGCTGGGTTGTGACATGACAAGAGTATCGATATGTTTTAAATGAGTCTGGGTGACAGGGTGACACACTTGTGTGTGTGTGTGTGTGTGTGTGTGTGTGTGTGTGTGAGGGAGGGAGGGGACGAGTTGGTGCAAAGTCAAACTGGGTTATTTTCACAGCAGCAACCCTTTTTATCTTTTGCACACTCTGCTTCTTTTCTCCTCTCAATGATTCAACCGGTTTCTCACCTGGAGTTTGTCACAGTGTGAACCCAAAAGTAACCATGGATTTGTTCCCCCTAATGACTCTACTGACGTAGAGGTTCATGATTAATATTAGATATGCAGTTTAGTGCAGTTACGTGTTAAATGTCACACTGGCATCAGGTCAGCAATCGTGTCTACTCAGTTTCTAGCAGGAGACAAATGGAAGAAGTTGTGGAAGAACTGGCAAAAAAGTGGAGTTTGATGATATAAATACACATTAAATACTGTAGGCCTGTTCTTTAGCATCTTCTGATCATGTACATTTACAGGGCCTCCTCCATAGCTGCCCCAAAACCTCAGAAAATCAATTTCAAAACTACACTTAAAGCTCACCTATTTAAATCTGATTTTAACTTGCAATAATAGTTATGCATGTTTTTGTTTTGTTTCTTACTGTTATAATGTCTTCTCTCTGCCTTGTTTATATTTTTATTGTTTTTATTGTTTCTATCTCTACCATGTAAAGTGCCTTTGAGTACCTTTTAAAGTGCTACAGAAATAAAATGTATTATTATTATTATTTAAGTGTTGTACATAATTTATTTTACACGATTTAAGAAGTCCAGTTTATCTTAAAGCAATAAATGTGGAGTATTAGCAGCGTGGGCAAGATGGCTCCCCACTGCATTGCCCAGTGATCAATTGTGGCTCCAGCAGACCAGCGTAGGTCTGTATGTGCAGGCAAGCGGTTGTCACCTGTTTGCTGCAAACAAATTGAGCCGTCGAACTCCATTGCTCCACTGTTTTTAACATCGCTGGGATAAAGGGCTGGAAATTACACAGACAACTCTTTATTGATCTATTGGAGAAGAAAAATAGTCAAAGACAAGGAAGTTCATTGCTGAGCTAGAAGGTCTGAGATGATAATGAAGCCTGGATGGACACTTCTGCACTAATCCTGGGTCCATAATCATATTTATAGCAAGCAGGTTATTAACCAACACATTCGAGAGCATTGCTTTAGCATCTTTTAACAAATTATTTTGGTTTTACAGCCTGCAACTTTACAGTTTTAGTTCAACCGTGAGGTTTCCAGTCACAGCAGGATGCAGGTTTTGGACAAAATAAAGACCAATTGTACGCTACCTGCTCAGCACCAAACAGCAGACGGACAATCAGGGGTTGGTGGAGAGTTACCCAGCAACACAAGCTGAAATAAATGCTGATGTTGCTCTGTGTCTGCTGCTTATTGTAGGTTTTAAAGCTGCTATGTGTAGAAATATAAACATCTTTTAAATTATTCTGATGGAAAAATAATAATTTGTTGGTTGAAAGTATTACAATCTCAGTAAAAAGGATTAAAAACAATGACGACTGCCAAAGTGTCTTTACAGTCAAAGCTACTAATATTATCCTACACAGTGATTTTAACTGCTCTCTTCTAGTTTTCTTTTACGTCGATGTAAATAAACAAGACAACCACGTAAATAAGCAACACAGTCTCACGGCAGTTCGTGATATTGTCACAAAATGATATTGAATAGTAGAAAACTGTCACTAACTCTTTTACCACGACCATAAAACCACAACGTGGTGTCAAACGCCGGTCTCCTGGTTGAAAGTCCGGTTGGTTTGACCCATCCACCATACCCTCCCACCCGCCAGAAGGCGTCTTTGTTGATATTACAAAGTAGCTCACTTGCTCTGACTGTTGCAGACTAAATACTTACTTATACTCTCTGCTCTGGACGCATCCTATAAAAAACGTCCAGCGTATTTAGGGCAACAATTCTGTCCCCCTTGATACTGTCCCAAATCAACGGAATAAGCCCACTCCCTGCTGCTTTCTCACACAACAAATACACACAAAAGCACGTCATTAAATGTGAAAATAACCACCGAATAAACCCAAACACACTCTCTACGAGCACACACACACAAATAAAAAAGAACAAGCTGGAAAAAAGAGCTGCTCTGGCAATTTGCCGTCGAGTCCTGCTGACATTTCTGTCTTCTCTCTGCAGGCCACCAGACTACAATTACCGATCGAGGCATTCCAGCTGTTATCTGAGAGCAACATATGCATGAAGACACCAGC